TTCCGTAATAAGCCACACACTTAAGATATTTCTCAAAATAATACATGAAAGACTACAAAAAAATAGAAGAAGATATAGATGACACCCAGTTTGGATTTAGAGGAGGACTACGTACGAGAGAGGCTCTGTTCACTTTGGAAGTTCTCGCGCAAAGACGACTAGATATGAACCAGGATATCTCTGTGTGTGAGATATACGGGTTATTGTCAATCTGTACTGGAATTAAAAAGCAAAGGTTAGAATCGAAAAGTCGCTACAGAAACTATAGAAATAACAAGAGGTGTTAGACAGAATTGCATGCTATCCCCATTCAACGAAAAAATCTTGAACAACATAAGATTCGCAGGCGACACCGCTGTTGTTGCAGACAGTGGAGAAGCTCTGCAACACTTAGTAAATAGATTACGTCAAGTCATTACAAAATATGGACTACACATGAACGTTAAGAAAACCAAGTGCGTGAATATTTCTAAGCAACATACAGTAGGAAGGCTAGATATCGAGGGAAAACAAGTAGAAATAGTGAATAACTACAAATATCTAGGAACCTGGGTAAATAAAAACAATGACCAAGGTAGAGAAATAAGGACACGAATTGAAATTGCAAGATAGGCATTTATAAAAATGAAAACAATGTTTGTTAAGCGACACCTTCCTCTGGAGCTAAGAATAAGACCCTTAAGATGCTACGTGTACTCAACTTTGTTATACGGAATGGAAAGCTGGACACTAAAAGTGAATAATATAAGCAAGTTGAAATAATTTGAGATGTGGTGCTATAGAAGGATTTTAAAAATACCATGGACTTAACAAGTTACAAATGCACCAGTTTCAAGAAGGCTACAAAAGGATTGCGATGTTATAAAGTATTTGTATCAAAAAATTTGTGTCGGTGAAACAACCAATATCGTGATACGTCCCTGGACATCGGTTACTCGAATTTCATAACATAGAAATAATTATCTGTTTGAATTTGCCGACGGACGAAATATCGATGGTCCCGACTTTACTTATGTCGAGAAATTGATGAATCTTCTTTTTCTTCTTCTTAACCTTCTGTCGTCCATGTTTGGACATAGGCCTCTCCCAACTCCTTCCATTGGTCTCTATCCTGAGCAACATATTTCCAATTTGTTCCGGCTATTCTTTTAATGTCATCAACCCATCTCATCTGTGGTCTTTCTCTTGGTCGTTTACTTTCGTAAGGTCTCCAATGTTGTATTGTAGTATTCCAACGTTGGTCTTTCTGTCTAGAAGTGTGGCCCGCGAAGCACCATTTAAGTTTGTCAATGGCGATAAATAGATGAATGCGGATTGAAAATTTTAACTTCAATTTTAAAAACTTAACTTATTATTTGGAAAGACACTACTATTATCATGGATATTCTATTGTCTAAGCTACAAACCATTTCTTACAATTTTCCACCACCCTTCTTCTTTAATTCCGTATGGAATTAAATTCCCCTTCAAGCAATTTCATCCTACGTTTGTGATTAATCCGAAATTATCGTAAAAATCTATACAATTAACACCTACCTGCCGTAGCGGTATGCCATTAAAGCTCAAACATTAAGATACAATAAAATATTCTGTAGAGTACTCCACCCTTCAGTTATTAGCAGCAGATACACAATAGTGTTGGTAACGCCTTTTTATTCTTATGAAATAGAACCTAATGCTTAAAATTAAACAGCCAACATCCTGACTTGTCTTCTTCTTGATTGTGCTTTTATCACAATTTAAATTCTTATGTTTGTTGTTGATACACAATGTGTGAAATTCTTTTACTAGTGGGACTTATAGTGAAATTGTGTTGAGATAATGATACATCGTAACATTTATAAATAAATTACGAAACTTCTTCTTTATGACCAACCATATATTTTATTAAAGCACTGTAATAGGTTTTTATAACATTTTTGAGATATTGCGATCTTTTTTAAATCTTAATACAATTGTCAAACTTAATGTGAATTTTGGGATTCTCCCGGAAAAATATTAATTTTTGGCGGTTTTCTGAAGATATTGTAATTGTGCTAACTAATTATTAATCCTCTCGAGATTTGGTATATTTATATTGATTAATGATAAATAAATAAATTGTCATTCAATTTTCAATCCAAAAGTGAGCTCGAAGTGAACTGAAAATGTTTCTAACAGGGAATCGACCAGGATCAAGTGATTTTCAGTAGGTAAAGAAATAATAAATAAGACTTACTCACAATCAATTTAATTTAACTATTCAGACGACCGGTTTCGCTTTCTATAATATGCAAAGCATCTTCAGGTCTCGATACAAAGTTAAATAAATGCTGAAATGATCAAAACCCATATTAGGGTGTTGTATAATAAAGATAAACAAAATAGATGTTATAAATTACAATAATTATGCCAATATTACATGTCTGTGGTTTTTTCAAAATGAATAAAAATGAATAAAAAGGTATAAAAAGTTTAAACAGACAAGGTAAGACCCGCAAATTGTTATAAAATAGTCTATTAGATTGTAATAAATTAATAAATGAGCCAATAAATAAACATTACTAACATGCCGGTACTCTATTAATTGATGGATGGTAGAACATGGTTGAAACTATCATGTATTGTTGAATGGAGAACTTAAGTCTGCTATTGTAGTTGTTTGACAGTAAGCGGGAAGTTCTTGAGGAGAGAGATTTGATCCAATGAAGTAGAGATAGATGTGTGATTGTTTGTTAAATGAAAGTGATGTTATTGTATTATTTAAAAGTTATTTATACTTATTCGAGAGTATATTTATGAAATGTGTGTTATTTATTGAGTATTTGTTTTATGAAGGTGACAGTTTTATGACAATGAATAAGCTTAGATGTACAAATTGTGTGGGTGTGCAATTCTTTCAACTTGTAATTATCCAATTTCTTTGATAAAGTTCTATTGGCAAAATGGTAGATTATTGCAAAGTCGAGTATATAAAATATTAAAGTTAAAACAATTAAGGACAATTTAAACACACTAAAACAGAAAACACTTAGAAGGGACAAAACAAACATTAAATTTAAAAAGGGGGAAGGACTTTTATGCACTACATCTCAGTCTTGGGCACAATGAGTTTTTAGGTTATCTATTAATTTTAGTGGTAAATTTGACTGATGTAGGTTAGCATGTGACGGTTCTTCTTCTTTTTCTCAATACTGCAAGTTAAGTTATCTAGTTTTATGAAATATGCTGATATTAATGAATGTCTCTAAATTAATTAAATTATTATTAAGAATTTAAAAGACCAATTAAAACAATTTAAGTACATACATAATATGGAGAACACCACCACCCAAACTCACAATTAAAAATCAAACTGGTAAGACAATTTACATGTCCACAAGTTTATATTAATAATATACCCATTCCTATAAAACCAGTTGTTTAATACTTGGGATTACCCTTGGATGAAAAACTTACATGGACAACGCACATTAAAACTAAACGAAAACAACTAGATCTTAATCTAAAAAATATGAACTGGCTATTTAACAAAAGGTCTCAGTTATCTCTTGAAAATAAACTGCTTCTGTATAAAGCTACACTTATACTAGTTTGGGCACATGGAATCGAACTATGGGGCTGTAGTAACCCTTCAAATACGAAGGTACTTCAAACATTACAATCCCAAATACTCCATATTACAAGTAAAGCTCCGTGGTATGTATATAACCAAACACTTCACCATGATCTAGACATCTCATTACTTAAGGACATAATAAAGAATCACTCAATAAAATATAAAAATCGCACCATTGATCACAACAACGAACTGATAAATAATTTATTCACCCAACCACTTGCCGAAAGAAGATTGAAGAGGGTATTGCCAGAAGACCTAAAGTAATAATACTTAGAGAACCGTCAATGGACCTAACTCACGTTAATTTACTTACAGACTATTTACTTATTACTCTATGTATATAGTAGATTGTAAACATGCAATGTCACAATACAAAAAATAATACAATTAATTGTCAAAATAACTGTCAAGCTTAGTGTGAATTTTGGGATTCTTCTGGAAAAATATTAATTTTTCGACGGTTCTTTGAAGATATTGTAATTATGCCAACCAATTATTAATCTTCTCGAGATTTGATAAATTTTAATTGTAAAAGTAATTTTGAGTACGTTACAGTGCAGTTTCTAACTTTAATGCAAAACAAGCCTACAAACCTAATACACCCGTATTACCAAGTTAGTCAAATAAATACTCAAGCTCCACCATTGTGCTTAAATCAACCCACAGTAAACCAAATGATACATTTTGATAATTATCAACAACAATAACAGGTACAGCTAAGAGTTGCCAACAAACCAACAGAGACTAAGATCGGCAAGGCACGTACATAAAATTTGTAATAAAAAACTTGTAAAACTGGTTTGGGATGAGTTTTCTGTAGGAAAAAGATAAATTGAGCTTTCCAGAATGCCATGGAGAGATAACATCCTCTTAGATCTCCAAAAACTGAATATTTGACTGAACAACAGATTGATACAATACTAAGCCTTTTGTAAAAAAGTTGTTCAGTTAGTTAATACCACCTTAAAGTTGTAGTGTTACGTAATGATTATCATGATGATGAGAAAAACTCAATAAGCTACGCTTATACAGTATAATATACACGTATGGGAGGAGCGGGCACTTTTGATCATGGGGTGGATTTGAACAATTCAAATTTCCCTCTTCTAAGCAACGCAATATTAGTAATTTTTGTTATACGGTGTTGGCTACATTTATACTACCAGTGTAAAGTTGCATGAGCGACTGTTGTCGTGTTAACAAACGTAATAATAGCGAAAAGCGAAAATAAGGTTTTCGGTATTTAAACGCATCTGTGTGTAATTTTGGTTGTAAGGATAATACAAGCAAGATATTCGGAACAGGTTGCTGTTGTTGCTAGCCTGCAATTAGCAGAGGTTTTCCAAGGTATATGTTCGATATTTAACCTCGTAATTGTAACCCTAAATTTTTAACTAACCTATATTCAAAATCTGTAGTTGCGGGGCACATTTGAACAACATAAATGGAGCACTTTTGAACTTTGTCCAAAGGTATTCCATTTCTACAAGGTCCATTAGGAAGAATTAATATTAATGTTAAATGTGGACTTTTAAGAACCGAGTTGGTACATACATATAAAAGAAAACGTGCAGAACGGCCTCTAACTGAAGATGAAGATTCGAAATGTAATACAAGCAGTGGAGGGTGGCGTAAAACTTAGGACGGCTGCTGCAATGTATGGAATTAAACATATGACACTATTTTATGAAATAAAAAGGAAACGGGAACGAGAAAGAGCAGAACAAAATGGTGAAGTTTATAATGATCTGTCGAATTAATCAAGTTTGTATTCTACTGGTTAAGTTTTTAACAAAACTGAAGAAGACCTATTAGTTAGTTATATATTAAAATCTTCAAAAATAAATTACGGTTTAACATACATCCAAATTAGAATTTTGGCTTATGATTATGCAAAAAGTAAATGGATTCAAAAGAATGGCAGTAAATGGAATGCCAATAAACTTGCTGGTATAGACCGGCTGCAATATTTTAAAAACAGGCACCAACATTTGGCATTCAGGAAACCCGAAAAGATCAGTCTTAGCCGAGCTACCAGTTTTACAGAAGAAAATGTTGGGACATTTTTTGACAATTATGAACGTGCCTTTTCAACCCACGATTCCACACCTGACAGGATCTATAACGGAACTGGTATCAGCAGTGTCTTGCAAGCTCCAAACATTGTAACGCAAAAGAGAATCAAACAAGTTGGGCAGATAGTTTCAGCAGAGATAGGCACCCTGATCACTATCTGTGGGATAATTAATGCATTAGAAAATGCTGTGCCTCCGGGGTATATATTTCCAAGAGCCCGTTTGCATGATACAATGTTAAATGGAGCTCCCTTGAAAGGTCTGGGTTTGGCTAATTCGCCAAGTTTTGGATGGATGACCAAGGAACTGTTTTTCAAGGTTCTTAATCACAATAAACGTTATACACAGTGTTTTTCTGATTCCCCAATTTTAGTATTGATGGACAATCACGAAACTCATTGTTCTCTTGAATCTTGAATGTTTGCACGTGAAAATGGTATAGTATTAGTTACTTTTCCACCCCACACCTCACATCGTCTTCAACCACTAGATGTAGCGGTTTATTCGTCGTTTAAATCAAAACTTGTCGTTGCTATGAACGAATGGGTGATAATGCATCTCGCTCGAGCAATTACCATACATGACTCAGCAGCTATTACAAACACTGTATACACTTCTTCATTTATCATAAAAAATATAGTTGAAGGTTTTAGAAAAACCGGCACTTGGCCCCTAAACCGTCTTGTATTTTCAGATGACGATTTTTACTGTGCTTTTGTTACTGACCGGATACCACCAGGAAATAATATAACCAACTCAACAGAAGCTTTATATTAACCGCAGTAGCACATGAAATTATTCCATCTATATCAATTCGGGCTGCCTCTATGAAAAATATTAAAACACCAAAAAGGTTAAATCTATAGTTTTAACAGAAATACCAGAAGAAATCAAAATTTAAGAAGAAAATCTAGCAAGAGTACGAAAACAACAGAAGTTGCAAGCAAATAAGATTAAAAAAACTTTTGGATGACTACTCCTACTACTAAGAAAAATGCGGAGTTACCACAGACTGAATCTTCGGAGTGCGATGAATACATCATTATTTATTCCAGCTCAGATGAATTAGAAGACTTCACAGAAATTGCAAAATATGAACATAATGACTATATTTTAGTGAAGTTTGATACAAAAAGCTGTGTAATTATTATGTGGGACAGATCACTGAACTATTTGCTGTGGTTTCAGAGTTTGAAGTTAAAATTTTTTAAAAGAATTAAGTGTAAAGGGGCAAGTTCAACTTTTCACTTTCCCGAAATGGAGGATATTTTAATAGTCTCCATTAAAGATATAGTTTTAGAGCTACAAATATAGTTATTAACATTATATTAGACACGTTAAAAAAACGTAAAATTTAAGGTAATACTTATTGTATTTTTTCACGTTTGTATATTTTATTGTGTCTTTTCAATTATAAACTGTATTTTTTGGTTTGATTTTAAAGTATTTTTAGGCCATTCAAATGCGCCTCATCTTAGTTCAAAGCTGTCCCTATTAAGGGCACTTTTGAACATTTTTCTTATGATATGTAAAATTAATTTTTTTGTGTGTTCAGATAATTTCTTGGTAAATTTGATAGACAATATATTATTAGATGTGCTAATGTTGTTTGCGATACCTATAATAAATAATTTAAGCAAAGTAGGTCATTATACACTTCAAAAGAAAAACGTTCAAAATTACCCCCTCTTCCCTATACATCTTGGTGCTAGGTCATTAAGATACATGATAGCGAGGTAGACGCGGATGAGCTTATTACGATTGTATAGCTTGCTTGATAAGAGGATAAACTACGAAATAGCCTAGATCAAGCTTTAGGAGTTTCAAAAGGCATAGGCCATAATAGGATAAGAATCTGCATCCAAAGATAGCACAATTACCAGTGACAAAATAGACCCGGTCAAGCACATAGCAAAAGCTTTATATACGTTTAGATGGATATACGCTTATAAGGCTAAAGTTGTGTGATAAGCGGGCAGGCTTACTTCCTGGATATGCGCCAGTCAAGGAATAAATGCACATAATGAGGCTGTGAATAAATGTAAAGTATTAGGCAGAATTGTTTTTGCTATTTAAATATTATGTTTTATGTGTTAAATAAACATGATTAGTTAAATAATTGTTTTATTTGCTACCAGCTAAGGGTTCACTGTTTAATTTATAGTTTAAGACAAGACCAATTCACACTTGAGAGACTGAGCTAGGCGAAGTATAGACGATAAGCTCCCATGGTAGATTGAGAGGTATTAATTTATAATAGTATTTCAATTCTCTTTGATAGTCTTATCGTTACACATTGGCCTAAGTTGAAGACTACGTGAGATAGAACTAGAAAGAGTCAATCATATTTTGCAGACAGCACATATCCATTAGAACTGTACAAGCTGGAACAAGGTTCCACAATTCCGGAATCGGTACCATGAATAAATAAAATATGTACATTAAACCAACTGATTAATTAAAATTTGATAATGAAATGATCTCTAAATTATAAAAAGTAGGAAAAATAAAATTAGAGATACATCTAATTAAAAAATATTATACAACTCTTATATAATATTGTATGTAACTACGAACACGAAATTTATTGTAATTTTCAATAATGCAGTATTTATGTGAAAAGCATGAAAACAACCAGTAATTTCCCTCTCGACACCCAGTTCAACGTATGATTGTGCTTACCCGTTAAAAAATGCCAAACCAATTTACAATCGAAAATATATCGCGTGAACTTGACGAAACCTATAATTATGAGGTGAGAATATCTCACAGGTACATCTAGAAGGCGCCCGTTAATAGCTAGGAGGACCTACGAGGGTGTATTGGAGTTAGAAACAATAAAAGTTTCAGTTTATAAAAATATCCTCCAAGGTTTTGTGTATATTGACATTTTTTTTATAAATATTTTATAATAACGCAAAAAATGTAGAATAAATAAGTAGGCAAGTAAACAAGTATTGATAAAAAGTATCTTGGAGAAAGAAAAGAAGGGAAAATTTTTAAATGGAACACTATAAAAATTATCTAAGTCATAAAGAACACATAAAATCCGGCATATACATATATTAAACAAACTCGATATACGAGTGTCCTATTACACAACAAGTGTTTTTAGATACATGCCGCCGAGCAAGCGATATTTTGCTTCGAGATAAGAGCAAGATTTGAGATACGAGGAATCACACGCAAACGACCCAAACTTGCACCAGTTTCTCGCACTTCAGATTGTGTACCTGTTTCTCTCGTTTTCGAAGGATGTTTGATAAGGTGGGTTTGTGTTTTTTGCTTTTTTTACAATTACAAATCATTCTTAGGTTCCGTCCTAAGTATATCCCTAGAGGTGACAAAACTTATACAAAAACTAATATTGCACTGCAAGATAAAAGACGCATGGAGAAACAGCATAATGAAACCAATGTTCCAGAAAGGAGATAAAGAAGACCTTAAAAATTAGAGAGGTATAAATCTACTGAACACCGCACTTAAGCTTACCACAAAAGTCTTAACCAATAAAACCAATAAAGTAACAACTTTATCAGACGAACAACAAGGATTCAGATCCAAAAAATCCTGCGTAGACGCCGTATTTGTACTAATACAACTCACAGAAAAGGCCATCGAGTACAATAAACCAGCATATCTATGTTTTATAGACCTGACAAAGGCTTTCGATCGCATCCAAGTCGAAGACGTCTTACACCTACTGTATAAAAGAAAAATACCAATCAATATTATACAAACCATCGAAAACATTTACCTCCATAATCGAATACAGGCAAAGATAAATGGAAAACTAACACAGCGTATACAAGTACAAAGCGAAGTCAGACAGGGTGACTCGTTGAGCCCACTTCTCTTTATTATGATGGACGAAATAATACAAGCAGTACGTAAAGGTCATGGCTACAGAATGGGGAACTAAGAAATCCAAATATTATGTTATTCAGACGACGCGGTATTAATCGCCGAGACAGAAGACGTGCTCCAAAGATTAACACATATAGGTAAAAGAAGATTAACACATATATCTTCAATAACACAGCTAAGAAATACAATATTATATCAGCAGAAAAAAACAAATGTATGACATCTAAATACCCACTACGGTGTAAAATCGAAATTGATGGAAAAATAATAAATCAGGAAGCAAGGTTTAGATATCTGGAAATAGATATAACTAGTTACAGAGACGTTGAAGAGGAAGTACGACAACAAAGCTTAAAAGCAAGTAAAGCGGCGGGTTCTCGTAATAACACAATCGGGAAGAACAAACACTTAAGACAAGACACAAAAATAAGAATCTATAAAGCAGCAATTAGACCTATATTAACATACACGGCAGAGACAAGACCTGAT